TTTGTTGCCTCTCTTAAGTCTCTGTGACGATTCAAATGTAATAGGCCCAGTGCACGCATGGCCAACATGCACGCCAACAAGCTCTTCGTAATGGCTCTGGGTGTAATGAATGTACTAATTTAAAATGTAGTGCTATATTGCTCCACAATAAAATTCTGGTGACTTAGAAAAGAAGCAGCTCAGTAATTACAGTGATACCTGTTCTGCCCTAAAAACAACCAAATTTATACAAGCAGTACAGATTTTGTGGACAATATTTCTTTCAACATTGGACTAAGCTGCTATGTGCTTTTGAAGCAAATTAAAAGTCTGGTATCAGCATAAATCTGTGTAAACTCTACCAAGAAAGACAAAAATGAATGCACCATGCCCATCCTGGCTCAACGTTCTATTTGCATAAAATTTACTGGGGAGCACTGGTCCACCGGTTCTTCATAACCTCCACTTCACGGCGAACTCAACGGATGAGATTTTAAAAGTGGCCAGGCTGCGGACAAGACAAGACTGTGACTAGACTATCAACATTTAGCAGCTTTTATGAAGACTATTCCTCTCTCCATGGATCTTGGACAGATTGGAAAAGCAGCTGCCTCCCTGTACAGCTTAGATTTTTTAATCCTGAACAACCTCCAGTAGTCTTAGTCAATTATTAATATCACTCCTTTATCTACTAAAGGATTTTGGTATTTTGGATGTGCATTCTCCCTGATTAATAAAAATATACACACTTCAGCAGCATAGCAACAAATACATTATATGATGAGTTTGTTATCTAGTTTTAAATTCTTATAGCTCCACCTCAGCTTTTTAACATTTCTAAATGAGGCTTTGCAAGCTCTTTGCCCAAATAGTAACTAAACTCCTCTGGCTTTAAGTGAAGGCATCTTAAATCATCCGAGTCATGAACTCACTGCTGCAACCTTTGTTATTATTACTCAAATAACACAAACTCTGTAGTACAGACGGAGAAGGTTTGCATATCTGATCATTGGACCGTAAACCAAGGAACTCACGAGCTAAATTACTGGCTGGGTGATTTATTTGTTTTCTAGCTAGACTTGTCACTGAAGAAAATACATCCTTAAATTGTGACAAAACTCTTGTGGTATTCCATATACATCTTGTTACTTGCTTCCAAATGGAGTAGGAAAGACCCTTTTTCCTCTGCTTGATTAGTATTAACAGGACATTGGATCTATCTTTGCAGTGGTCGACTTATTCCAGGCATCAGAAATTAAGGTCCTCGCTAGGACTAGCCTGGAAATAAATACAACGAAAACACTGACCTAAAGAATCCCAGGATTTCTGAAGGTCTATTGTCTCTCTTTATAAAGAGTTTGATGCACAAGCTGTCAGCAGTATGCTGCTGCATGGTACCCAGAACCCCAGAACGCCCAGTCAGGTCCAGTGAGCCCAGAAGTAGAACTCACAAGCAATATATATACTCTGAACAGCATTAATCTATATAGATTTTAGGAAAATCTCCTACAAGCCAGCTGATCACTGGCCTCTTGCATCCTTTTACATCCTTTACACAAGCTGATGTAAAGATGTGCTGCCTACTGACGCAGGATTCTATCACGTGGCCTATGTTCCCTCTGTGAAATCTGCTTTCGTTTCATTTTGGTTTGAGGTATTTTTACTTATCTCTGAACCAGGTTAGAAGGGTAAAAAAATAAAAGGTCGGAACGAAAACTTCTGCAAGTAGCAAGAAATATATGCATATCTTTTTAAAAATGTTTTATAGGTAGCTGCAAGAATGTGTATTAAAGTAACAACATGAAAACCTACTAAACCAAAAAGTGTCAATGATACTGTCATAGAGCAGCATCTATGAAAACGACGTTAAGTATGTGAAGAAATTTTCTATGTGATATTTAGCGGAGTCTGTTTAAATATCACATAATTACCCTTCTGCACTTAGATAATGGCCTATTATTCAGCCGCAGCGGAAAGGCATTTACCCTCAACAATTATGCCTAAAATGGGAAAGAAAGCCAAGTGCCAGAACTTAAAGGTTTCTTGAGTACTAAAAATGTAGGCAGTGACCTTGTGAGATTTTTCAAAAACACAAACTGCATTTTAGGTATCTAACAGTTGTAGAGAATTAACTGTAAGTCAAATGTGACATTGTGTACCATCAATCTCATTTTAGGATTACTGAAACTCAGCTATTTTTTACTGACTATTCTCGTACTCCCTGCTTCAGAACATTTTTCCCCTCAAAGTTTTGTATTAACAGTGTAAAACAGCACTTTGATCAGTGAAGCCAAAGGAGAATAGCAGGACTTTCAGTCCGTGCCTGTTAACTCCTGGCTTATAAGAGAAAGAACAAACTTTTCAAACTGATGGGCTTATGCAGGAAATGAAGATGAGTATCTTAATGAAAGAAAGAAAGAACGAACCTGTAATTAGTTCTCCAAAGGCACCCACTGCTACCACCTACAGACGAAAAGGATTCACAGCTCCTACCTAGTATCAGAAAATACATTAGTTTTTACTACAACATAGCAACAGTAGTAATAATTATTCTCTGAGGACCAAGACTACAGTTCCCCAAACAATTTAAACAAAATCCAACCTGTGATGTTAAAAATAACTGACACTTTACGTCATAAGCTTTTAAAATTAGTTATTAACGACATGTAAAACTTCAGGCAAATCATGACAGATTTTAGAAATCATCTCTAAAATTACAGAATAATCTTAGAAATAGTAAGCCCCTGAAATACACAACCTGCCTTTGTATAGGTAGCTACACTTTTTTTAACTGCACAGCTGCTAAACTTTGCATAGCGACAGAAAGTGGGTTGAATGTACCACCGAATAGGTATACATGCACACTACAAAAGTCAGCATAATAGGGTACCTCTTTATTAATTCCAGGTACGTTCACAGTTTCTTATAAAAGAGTAGACAGGAGAATGATATGGAAAGAGACTGGAATACTGTGTACTGGGGCATCTGCTTACACTAGCAGCATACATGCGCACAAAAAAACTTCTTTCCTTTGATGTGAAACATCCTTTTCTGTTTATCTGTAGTTGCTGCTTTGATAAGGCTGGAAATAAATGTAATGTTTTGGCAGAAATAACTGTTCAGATATATAAAAGAAATTGGCCTGAAGGCCTAAGCACAGGGATGGCCCATGTCTGTACTGTAGTTCAGTTTTTGTCTGTGGCTTTTCTGATGTTTGACAATTAACATCTGCAATCAAAGTCCATGCCCAGGAGTAGGTTTTTTAATTGCTGCGTCATGTAGGCCACAGAGCAAATTGTTTGGCTGAATGGGTGACAGCAAGGCAGCGCATACTGTTTGTGAAGCTGAAGGGTTCGCCCTTTGTGTGTGCTAACACATAGGTAAATTAGCACTGATTAAGCAGCAGTAGAGCAAAGTGTGTTGTTGGTCCCTGGATGATTAAGAAGCAGTGCCTCCTTCCCAACTGACCGGGCAGCCAAAAGGCACCAGTTGTTCTCTGACCTTGGAGGACAGTTGTGGACATTGAATTGTGCGCTGACGCTTGCAACCAGTGTGGCGTGGCCAGCCAGCTGGCAGCAGGGCCATCTTCGGAGCGGCCTCCCTGCCTCGTGCCATCCTCTGCCTCTTCGTGGTCCCATGAGCTGAAGAAGGCAGGGAGATCTGCGGCAGGCTGAGAACGGGCAACGGCGGAAGGAGCAAAGAGACAGCGCCCTTCCAGTGGGGAACGCCGGTGTGTCCTACGTGGAAAGACGAAGACCTCTGTTAGTGTGTTAAGGTCCTTAATAGCTCATTCCCTGGCATCTAGCACGACATTACTTGCTTGCATTGGAGTTTAATCAGCCCAAAGGTTTTAAAATTCGAAGTTTTAGGAAGTTCTGTTGAAGCCAAGTAGTTTAGGTTTTCGGTTCCAGGCCTTACTGAGCCGTTTGTATCTAACGAGCCTTTTGGAAGTTTGCCTCTCAGGTTCGTTTAGGGATTTATGCCCCTTCAGGAGACAGTGGGACTCTGTCCTGTTTACCCCCGTAAATCCTAGAAACGGCTCCAGATCACACACAGGGACTGCAACCCTACTTTCATATAATGAGCACTTAGAAAACCATTTAAGTAAAACCATCTGCTCGCAGGGAACACTTTTTTGTGCTGGATGTTTTTCTACTATCACTTCAGAAATTCACTTATGCTGTCAGGACGTTTACAGGTAAAAAAGCAACGGAGCAAACAGCATCCGAAAGCCAAACCTGAAATTCTCATCTTGCAAAAGCTCCCCTAACAACAGCACCATCAGCTACTCCAACCGCGGGGTAAACTGCCTTTATTCTGCGCTTACAGGTGTTTTACGGG